CTCTTACTTGCTTCTCAAAATCCCTTTTGAACTCTTCCAAGGCCTGGGACTGATTCATATTTTTCTTGGAGGCTTTGGATGTAGGAGCTCTGACTTTGTTATCATATTCTGGTTGTATATTTTGATCTTCCTTGTCACCAAATTAAGATAATATAGTATGACTCTTTTTGTGCTGCTTGCTCATGATCCTAGCCAAATATTTGAGTTTTAAACTCTTTGTTAAGGTAAGAGTCTGCGTCCAATGTAGAGAATGGATTGTCCCAAGCTTCAGGGGGTTATATAGCTGTTTTCGGAGATACTTTTAGGGACCCATAAATCTTCAGTTCTTGCAAGGTGGTATGATAAGGGGCGAGGTGTTTACTCCTTTTCTAGCCTGTGCTAGGTCTATTAGTGACCACAAGCACTCCTTTCAGTCCTGTAACTGTGAGGAAGGTTTCCTGTCCACAGCCACTACAAGCTCCACCATGCCAGTGCTCCTCCTCACCCCAGGACACCGTGTGCTTTAGCAAATACATCTTGTTGCACATACATCAAGACCTCTGGACAGATAGAACTCTGCACTGAAAGTATTTTGGAAAAGGCTAGTTGGATGCAAGAAATTCACAATAACTTTAGTGGAACTCATGGGAGTCCTGGCTTCTTTCTATACTGGTTCCTATTCTCATACTGATCATATTTCTCTTGTGTTTGTTTGGTCTATGTCTACTAAATATTCTTGCCAGATTCCTTTCTTCCAGGTTTGCACCATCAACTTCCAGATGACTACTCAGGCTGTATACCAACCTGAGGATTCTAGCCTGCAGAACCTGGCATCAGCCAGGTTTTGACATTTGACCCCTAGAATAGGATCCAGAGAGGCAGAGACAGCTCTACACCCCTTGCCAGCAGGAAGCAGTTTCAGAAGCTAAGAACTTCACCCCTTTTCACCAAAATAATTTGTGTCCAATTTGTTTGACGGGGAAATGATGGGGTATAGTCCAAGCCAGGTCTTCGCCCCTTGACCCACAGGGAATCTGATTTCTATTTGTCTACAGGCCCCAGCCCCTTATCTCCCTTTGAAAGCCCTAGCCCCACCTTTTGGATCTCATTATCTATTCCCATTGTCTATTCAGTCTCTCAGGATTCTCACCCACACTGGTTTCCCAGACCCTCCCCTAGTCACCCAAAGTCACTTTAGTATATAAGATCTACCCTGGTCCTCATTCAGGGCTGAGAATCTCATGCCCGCTTATCCTCATGGATATTACTCTCAAATAGGCTGAGAATCTCAAGCCCAAAAGGCTGAGACTTTCTCATGCCCACTTGTCCTCATGGGTGTTACCTGGTCTATGTGATTTATCACTAATAAACTTATCCTTTGGCTGGAAGAAGATTTGAGTTGAATTCTTTCAGACAGGGCCCGGTACCACTATCTTGTGGTTCCCAGTACCCCAAAACCTCTAGAACTCTTCAATACTATATCACCCAAAAGAAACCTTAAAGTGGCAACTAGTTTAAATCCATAAGAGAGAAAGGAGATTTTGTACCACCTGCAGACAATGGTGTGGGGGAAGGGGGGTGGGGGTGGGAAGGTTCTTTGGAATGTAAGAATTCAGTTCTAGATGAGTATATTTCTTATCTCTCTTTCTAGACTTTCAACTCCTTAAGAGGAATTATGAGATTTTGTTCATCTGAATTCTTTGAGGGCAGGGACTATCTTAGGCCTCTTTTTGTATCCCCAGGGCTTAGCATAGTTCTGACATATAGTAGGCACTTAATGACTGCTTAATGACTGACTTTTATCCCCTACAGCACCTAAGTCAGTAGTAGGCAGACAATGAAAGTTTTTAGAATTAATGAATCAAAGTATCTTAGTTCCATTTCTGGGGTTACAAAGATAGTTATGGCACAAATCCTACTTTTAATCAGGCTTGTAATAAGGTGAATAAAAGGACAGATACACACCTTAGTATGATACATAGGAGAAAGAGATAAGTACAAAAGAACAAACTAGGAAAGATCTTGATGGAGGAAAGCCAGGGAAGGTGATATCAAAGTAGTATAGATATGCTAATTACCTGTTGATTCCTTCCTTTAAACTGCCTTCAGTCCTGCCAAAGCACATGAACCTCAAGAGGCCTTATTATGCTTTGACTATTCTAGATACTTAAGCCAATAAAGAATAAGGTTTCCATTAATTTTGGTCATAACATAAAAGGATCATATTTAGGGCAACTCCACCCAGAAAAACCTTTCCAATTTCATGACAACAGGCACAGTGTTCCACGAAAGGAAGTTACTATTGCTCTATTTTCATCCCTTCTCTTTCCATATGCCCTATAAGAAAGCTCAACTGAAAAAAGGCTAGATCAGGGGTGAGGAACCTGTGGCCTGGAGGCCACATGTGGCCCTCTAGGTCCTCAAGTGCAGCCCTTTGAATCCAAACTTCCCTCCAGTCCGAAGGTTCCCTACTCCTGGTCTAGACTGTCCCACAAGCCACTAAGAAAATGCCTATCATCTCAGTGTATTCTCATCTTGCTCCAAAGGTTAAATTAGTAATGAAAAGTCTGCTTTCTAACTTAATCATGGAGCATATAGTACAAAAAAAAAAGTTGGATAATCTTAACTAATCTGCATTTTCTACCCTGTAATCAACATTGTATAATCAGCATAAAATCTGTTTAGAAATATTAATTAAATCATTCAAAATAGAACTCTCTGAGTTTACAACTCATAGATATAAACAAGATTTGCAAAGCACAAGTGTTATCTCTTTAATCCTCACCACAGCCCAGAGAAGTAGATACTGTTATCTACATTTTACAAACAAGGAAACTTTTCCTGAGCAAGGTTCAATGACTCCTTCAGGTTCACAAAACTAGGATTAAAGCGTCTGATGGGGAATTTGAACTCAGACAGTCCTGATTTAAAATTCATCACCTGTAGTCACTGTACCACCTAAAAAATTAATTAAATATAAGAAATGAAAAACTAAAGAAGACCAAGTATAGATTTAGAGGGTTTTTTTAATTTTAGTTTTTAAAATTTTAATTAAATTAATTTTAATTTTTTAAATTTTAATTTAATGTAAGTGTAACTTACATTAAATTTTAATTTAATTTTTAATTTTTTAACTATAGATTTAGAGGGGTTTTTTTATTTTAAAAAGAAGGTAGGGCATAAAATTCAACAAAATGAAGAAAAAAATGTTATAAAGCATAATCTGCCAACACCAGATAGTTATTTTAATTGTTTCAGGACAATTTTCTTAATTCTTACAGATACTTAGCTTTATAAAATTTGAATTACTTTTGGGGATTAATATACAAAATGTGTTGCATTTGTATTTCCAACAAGATCTTTTTTTTTTAATGTGTTAATTCATTTGATTCAGTTTACAAATGAAGAAGCTGGTTTTCTTCCAGAATAGAATACACGAGGTATTTATTTCTATCATCTGAGGAGGCAAAGTCAGAAAGAAAGGTCAGGGGGAAAAGTACCCAGAACATTACTTGTTATGTCTTTCAAAGCACTTAACTATTTTTTAAAAAAAGATGAAAACACTACAATTTTTGCATGATAATCTGTAATAAATCAAACTTCTTTGTGAACCTAATCAGTATATTAGTATTTGCGGAAGCTCTTTGCAAATGTAAAAGTACATGTCTTAGTTGGAATATCTTCCTCTCTGAGAATGAACATCAGCTTTGAATTTAACTATACAACTTTTACCGAAAGTAATGTTCTCCATCAAGAGTAAAAAGCTTTTACCAATCTGTCACCATTTTATTAGTATTCAATCTATTATGGTTTATGAGGAGCTGAGGCACGCCATTTTAAAGCACTCAGAGCTAAAAAAGAAGAGAAATCAACACCCACACCAAACACTGCAGTGAATTCACTCTCCTTCAGAAATGTACCATAATATGACCTTTTGGTGAGGCTTTCTTGAAGTCATTTTTATGTTTCAGAGAACTAAAGCCGGAAATATTGACTATTATAGAACTGTTGTCTTAAAGCACAGCTCATTCATTCACTTAATAGTGTCATTTCCCCTCTATTGTGTCAATTCTATCCTGGTTTACCAAACTATAAGTCATGAAAGTGGAGTAGATCACATGATACAAAATGAATGAGCCATCAAATGGAAATACTGATGGGTTCTGCAAGACAAAAATGGGTTCTTTACTTTTCATTCAGATGTTTTCATGTCATGTTTACTTAGCCATGAATAGTAGAACATATGAGCTTTTAATAGCTTTTGAAAATGTGATAGTAGAATTTTATATCACAAAATAGCTATTATGCATCATATGAATGTGTATACACACATAAATACAGGACAGCTAGGTGGTGCAGTGGATAGAACATGGGGCTTGGAATTAGGAAGACTCATCATCATGAGTTCAAATCTGGCCTCAAACACTAATTATCTGTATGACTCTGGGTAAATTTAACTCTGTTTGCCTCAGTTCTATATCTGTAAAATGAGCTGGAGAAGGAAATGGTAAACCACTCCAATATCTTTGCCAAGAAAACCCCAAAAAGTAGTCACGAAGAGTCAGACACAACTGAACAAAAACAACTGAGCAAAATATATGCATACAAACATATATACCTTAGAATAAATGAATAAAGGTCAGAATGGATAGAAGTTGCAAAGAGGTAATTTCAGACTTGATGTCAAGAAAAAAAAACTTTCTAACTATCATAGCTCTCAAAAACACAATGGGATACTTTGGGAGGTGAGAGGCTCCCCTTTTTCACAATCTTCAAGAAAAGATTGGATGACCGATTGTCAGGTATATTATGGTGGGGATTACTTTGGGGAATGGATTGGTCTAGCTGACCTTGAAAGTCCCTTCTAACTCTCAAATTCTGTGATATTATGATATCAAATAGCCACATAAGATTAAACCAAATTTGACATTTCCCAAAATTAGAATTGAAAATTTCAATTATTCTGTCTGAGTGACTTTAATTGTTTAAATACTCCAGTACATATATTAGAATGAAAATACCTTTTGAAAATCCTTGATATTAACCAGGTTGAATGAAAATATGTGATCCTTTGCTCCAACATACAGCCTACTCCGTTCCTCATCCAAAAGGAAAGTATGATAACTGGAGCTGTTTGTCAGGCCATTGAAAGTGATAACATTGTTGGATTCCAACATTTCTGCAAAGTAGCAAAGCAGACATTTTTGTTAGTTTGATGACCTAAAAGAAGACACAGCCTATAACACATGCTGAAACATGGACACTACATTCTATAATAATCTGAATCTGGGTACTTTGCTTGACCTTATGCAACATAAAGGAATGAACTTCTTATATTTTGTTAAAATTGTAGTTATACATTTAAACTTAATAATTTTATTTTTATAGACCCCTAAAATAGTAGAAAAGAGGCTAAGTATATATAAATCTGGGTTGGAGACCAATGAGAAGGCTATCACAGCAACTCAGCTGCCAAAATTATTTTCCTGTAGTGTAGGTCTGACCATAACACATCTTTCCCTTTCATTCCCCTTCTTCTCCCTTTCTCTGCTGTATTACCCCACCTCTCCCCTCAAAACACACACACCACACACACACACACACACACACACACACACACACACACACACACACACAACTCTAGTGGCTTCCTATTACTTCAGCCTCAAACATAAAATCTTTTGTTTGTTTTTTCAAGCTTTTAAAAATCTGACCCCTTCCTACCTTTCTAAACTTCTTACACATTCCTCTCTAAAATATGGGCCAATCAAAAGCCTCCTTGTTACTTGCACACAATAACCTATTTTCAATCTATTTCCTACACCTGGAATGTTCTCTCTCTCTCTCTCAACCTCCAACTTTTACGATGCCTGACTTCCTTTTAGATTTGAGTTCTTAAATTCAACTTCTTCCAAAATGCTCATCCTTGTCCCCCTGGCTGTTAATACCATCCTCTCTAAAGTTAATTTCTCTCTACTTTGGATTTATCTTAAAAGTTCTGATTTACAGATGGTAACTTCTCCTGTTAGATCATAAACTTCTAGAAAACAGACTTTTTTTCCTGTGTATCCTCAGTGCTTAGGATTGTGCCTGGCACATAGGAAGAGCTTAAAAAAATTCTTACTGATTGACAGTCCAAATCTTTCCTTTTACAGATAAGGAAATAAACTTATAGAAGTCAAGTGATTAACTCTGTAAGTGACAGAGATGGGTCATTTCAATCCATATGTGGCATTTTTTCCACTATAGTATTCTGTTTCATGTGAACATATTTTACTTTTAAACCCTAATATATTATGAAGATAGTTGAGATTGATTGATAGATATTTGGCTCCATTTTTGACTGCACATTTATACAGAAATAACACAATAGAGAGATAGACTGCCCATTATTATCAAAGTGATTGTGGGTAGTTACAACCTCGGAGATTCAGTTTCTTCATTTATCAAATGGTGATAATGTTACTTTCATTATTTGCCTAGGCCATTGTGAAGAAAAAGCTATGTGGATATGCAAACTACTGCTATAGAAAGGAAAAGCCTGAAGAGAAATTAAGTAGTTCTCCTCTCACCAGAAATTTGCATTGCATATGCATTGTCTCCCTTCACTTTCCAATTACCTGATCTACTTACATAGAGTAAATTATTATAACTTAATTAAGGATTAAATTAGTTTTAATTGGCAAATGTGAGATGCCTTTCTAGCTACAAGAGAATAAAAATCAGTAATGGACCCCCCAAAAAATGATCAATGAAAGGGGATCATAACAATCAGTCAGACAGAAAAACAGAAAAGAAAATATTTAGTTCAATGAAAGTTAGCAAGAATGGAATTCTACTTCATGAGAGGCAGTGTGGCATATTGGATAGCATATTAGATTTGACGTTAAGAGAGACCTGGGTTCAAATACCCCTTCTGTTCCTTAAGAATTATGTGGCTAGGTATAGTCCCCTAAACCTTGAAAGAGCCTCAATTTCTTCCCGTGTAACACTGGGATTACAATACCTTTATTAGCCCATCTCACAGGGCAGTCATGGGGCTCAAACAAGGTCATAAAAAGGGATAAAATAAGGGCAAAGCACTTTGTGAACCTTAAAGCACTATGCCAAAGACATGTTCACTATGTAAAGATAATCTAGAAAAGTTTGTGTTCTTTAAATAGAACAATCACTCTGAAGACAGAAACTGTTCTTAGTTTAATTCCAACTAAGGAACCCTTAAATTGTTCAGAAATCAAGAGACTCATTGTTTTCCTTTAGCACAAATGAAACAAACTCTGGTTTGCAGCTGTTTTCCATTGGTTTATAATTTTGCTTAATTTCTTCCCATCATTCTTTTCCATCTGACTCTAGCTTCTCTCACTTTTTGAATTCTTTGCCTCTGAGATCCATTGTATAAATGTATTCAATACTTGGTAGTTTCCTTTCCAAGATAAGCAAAAGAACTGTATAAATGCAACTACCAACCACTATTTTTAGAAATTCAGACCTAAATAATTGGAAAAACGTTCATTGTTCATGAGTAGGATGAAGCAACATAATAAAAATGCCAATATCACCTAAATTATTTTACTTCTCCAATGTCATAACAATCTACCAAAGGATTACTTTATGTAACTAGAAAATAATGATAATGAAAATGTATATGGACGGGAAAAAAGGACAAGCATTTCAAGAGAAAAAATGAGAAGAAATGGAAATGAAGGGGACCTTAGCAATGCCAGATCCCAAACTACACAATAAAATAAAATGACAATTTACTACTGGTTAAAAAGTAGAGTGGTCAAACAGTGAAACAAATTAGGTATGTAACAGAACCCTGGTATTCAATAAACACAATGACGCCAGCTACTATGGTAAAGACTCACTATTTGACCAGAATAAAAAATGTCTAAAAACTGGATAGCAATATGGAAGAAATTAGATTTAGACTAATACCTCATATCTTGAACAAATACAAACTCCAAATTAGTATGTGGACTAGAAATAGAAGTCCATATCAGAAACAAATGAGGGAAACACAGAAAAAAAAATAAACTATTTGATCTATGGATAGGAAAATTCATGATCAATGAAGGAATAGCTCTCACAGAAGAATAAAAGTAAATTTATTAAAGAAGACAAGGTTGATAATTTTATTAAATGGATCTTAAAAGATTTTCCACAAATAAATCCAATAAACTAAGATTAAAAGGGAAATAAATAACCTGGAAAAATCTTTCCAGCAAGTTTCTCTGATAAAGGTTTCATTTTCAAGATATATAAGCAACTGTTTCAAAATCATAAGCACAAAAGCCATCCCAAATTAATAAATTGTCTACGGACTTGAAGAGTCAGTTCTCAAAGAAAACTAGGCTATAGCCGTGTGAAAAAAAATGACTTCAAAGAACAACTGCAGGGTGAAGTAAGCAGGATCACATGAACAATTTATACTATGACACCAATATTATAAGAATGAACAATTTTGAGAACTTTTGTAAACTGACAAAGAATGAAATGAGGAAATCTAGAATGATTCATAAAACAATGTAAAAACTAACAGTTTTGTCAGCTATCAGATCTATAATCAATAGAACAACCATTTACGATTCCAGAGGATAGATGACAAAATCTGCTATTCTTTAGAAAAAGGCAATAGATTTGTGGAGCAGAATAAGACATTTATATACCCATTGAAGGAATTCGTTTTGCTTGACTATGCATACTTATTATAATAAAACTTGTTTTTCTTTTCTTGCTTTATTTTTTTTAATCAATGGGATGGGAAAGTGAAGAGAAATAGTTTTCTATTAATAAAAAAACAGGGCAGTGTGACAAATCTGAGATATTACATGTGCTTTCAGATTAGGTCATGTATTATTAGCTTTACTTAGCTGTTTTATTTTGCTACAAAAAACCTTCCAAAATGGGAGTAAATTGTAAATGTCTGCAGTGCAAAAACACAATATATCCATAAAACATTAAAAGGAAAAAAAATGAGACACAAGTCTTGTTGAGGCTCCCATGGCTTCATAGTGAGTAATATAAAACTTTACTTGGTTTCTCTTACAACTTCCTCAGACTAAAACATTTGGTTTAGAGTTAGAGTCTTCTTTAAGTGATCTCACGGTTGAAAGCCTTCAATTTTCTATCTCCCTAATTTTAATCTTGTGTGTCCTTCTCTGTAATGTGGGCACATTCAAACTTTTTTTTTTTTTTGCCATTCAATTGCCTTATCTCTGACCTGTCTTCTTTTGAGTTTTAGATTTTGATGTCAATTTTTACATTTGTTAATGATGACACCCAGTCAGTGGAAACTGAAATAAATAAATATTCAGGAATAAGTGAAGTGTAATCTCTATTTTACCCCCTTTATCACATCTCAGACCATGTGTATTGCCATAACCAAACTACTTTCAAAAAGATCGAACTAAATCACTGCTTCATCAGTTTGGCTTTGGGGCAACTGAGTACAGTGAAATACAAATATACACTGGTTATTTTCAGGACCAGATGTTCTGCCCTATAGCTATACATTCCTGGGCAATCATAAATTGGATTTCATTTAGGTTTCAGTCAAAGGTATAACTACTGCAATATTTATTCAATTGCATCAGTTGCAAATGAAGTTCTTTTTAATGCTTTCGTGACTCAGTTGGCAGTCTAGAGCTCTCCACTCTTCCTGAAGGTAGAATTGCTCCTACATTTAATAAACATTATTGATTCCTGGTATATACAGTATATAATATGGAGTTCTAAAAAACAGAAAAGTAAATTAAATGTGGCCATTACCATTATGAGTTTACTGTCCAAATGTAGATTTGTCATGTAGGCAATGAACAATAAATGCGCAACTAGACCATGGAAAATGTTATAAAGTCCTTTGAGAATTACTAGGAGGGAGAGTTAATTTCCAACTTTAGCAGGGGAGAGGTGATTAAAAGAAAGACTTCTTGGAGGAAGTAATCCTGGATTTGAATTTTGAAAAACATAAAGGATTTTTAAAGGACATGTAGGAAAAGATGTAATTCCACACCTAAAAAGGAGCTGAAGTAAAAGATGGTGTGCACATGAAAAGAAAGAGTGGGGAGAAACATTAAGATTAGCCATTGAAGTATTTTTGTGGAGGATTTTAAGTGAAGGCTAAGAAGTTTGTACTTTCATGTGTATCTTCTATGCTGCATATACTACTACCATTCT